AGTGTCTATAACTGGACCTGTAGTGATAGCTGGTTGTGTAGTGTCTGTTTGTGTAGGGTTTGTTGTGTTGACTGGTTGTGTCGTGTCTTTAACTGGATTTGTAGTGATGACTGGTTGTGTAGTGTCTGCAATTAGAGTTGTGCCATTGAATGTGTTTGTAATTGTCGTTTTGTTACTTGTATTGCTAGGACTGACAGCAGTTGTGGTGTTGCTTGTAGGAGTGATCCGCTCACTAGTTAAATCAACATTTGTGGTTGTGATTTGTGATGCACTGTCACTTGTTTCCGTAATGGTTGTGCTCCTAGTTGCACCAATGCTTGTAACTCTGCTCTCGTTTGCATCTGAGGTTGACTTCGTAGTTTTGATTGGCTCATTTGAAGTTGTGTCATTATTTGTAGGTGTGATTCGTACGCTTGTACTTATGTCACCTCTTGTGGGTGTAAGCCGTGCACTTGGACTGATGTCACCTCTTGTGGGTGTAAGCCGTGCACTTGTGTAGCTTGTCTCTGGGCTTGCAGAAGAGGCTGTTCCACCACTGGCTGGTGTTGAGGGAGAGCCAGCACTACTTGCTGTGGGCTTGCTGTTTAAATTTGAGCTCGTTGTCATGTGCAATGTTGTGGGTGAATTTGACGTATTTCCACCAGCGGTGACTTTAACTGTACTAATCTCCACTGTTGTCGTTCCTGCAATTAAAACATAAGGACAGATGTTAATCAACTTGATACTGTCTCATTGGTTCATCTTTTTATCTGCTTATTCTTAATAGGGCCATGGGGGGCTGGAGCCTATCCTATCTGCGTATTGGACTGTTTTCTCGCACTATCAATTGAGTCGTAACAAAACATAAATGTTAATCAACACTTTTTTTTTTTAAAAATGTGATATAATTCCATTAAAGCAGTATGAGATATAGATTTTTCTCTATTCAGTCATGTCAAACTTAAAGGTATGATTTTTTCTATGATGGGCTAAGTGTATCCCTGGTCCCACTGCTGCGATCACAGGGGGCAGCAAAGCTGCTCGTGGAGTATGTGCAGGCAAGCTCACAGAAGCTGCGACTGATAAGAACAACAGTAAATGATAACATGGGAAAACTTGGTAACAAGTGCTACTGACTTCATCTTACTAGCTCATATGACAGATGTTTTATCAGTATGCTGCTGAGACACCTGTTCCTAAGTCATTGCTCCATTCATGATAAGAGGGTAACAGAGGAGCTTGAGGAGAAGTATGATGTATTTGATAATAGCTTAGCTTGTTTACGTCATCTCTTCATCCACATCCAATAATCTACTACATTTTAGGAACCTGAAAGGGAACAATAATCTTTGTTTCTTTACAAACATTTTTCTCAGAGAAAGTGGAGAGAAAAATCAAGATTAATATCAGATCCAGCACTTAATTTGATTATATCCATTATGTGCAAGGCACTGAGTGATGCATCACCTTTATTGCTTAGAAACCTAGACTCGTTTAGAGAGAAGAAACGCAGGCTCCTCACCCTCGCCGGTGACTGCGCAACTTTATGGACAAGTTATGCTAAATGTGCACACACACCTACCTGTTCCCAACTTCAAAAGTATTTTGTCAGGGAGTGGAACTTATTTAGATAAATCAAGATAAAAGATAAGGAAGTTAAACTTGATGGAAAATATGCAATTGTGCATGGTCGTAAAGCAGAGGAGCGGTTGGTGTTTCCTTATGAAGCAACCCAGAGTGGGACTGTCACCCTAAAACACACTTAAATTAGTTTGAGAGGAGCTCTTCTAGATTAGGATCTAAATTCATCAGACTAATCTTACTGGATAACAAGAGACTGAGATTAATGAAAAACCTCTTAGATCAGATCGAGCTGACCCTGCTTTGATTACCCCATTCCATTCTCTACATTTCATTTGTGAGGCCCTGTTGTGTCCATGAATGTCTCTCATGAAGGTTACATATTTCATTGTGAGCTTCATGCATGCATGACTGCGGTTCAATGAAATACCACAACACCGAGTCCTATCAGAAAATAAACACCTTTTATTCATTTTTCAGATTCCTAAGCAGCTGGTTTCAGTTTGACCTGTAGGTCAGTCGGGTGGTCAGTCAGCACCAAACTATTCAGGTAGTGTAAGGAGTAACATTTATTTGCTCAAGGATGGCAAAAGAAAGTCTTTACTTTTTTAAGTAAATACCATGACTCAGCGTATGATCAAAGCTTAAAAATTAGTTATAAAAAGAGTTAAATTTAAACTTGAATCTCCCGAGCTTCCTCCAAGAGGATAAAAGGTCTACCAGGAAGCTGAAAGAGAATGATTGACCCTGGTATCAGCAAGTGACACTGATACACCTGCGGCATCTTTTAGCTGGGAAAATTCATAATTAATGATAAGCTATATGAAAAGGAAGTGTTTTTCTCACTATGATCAAAGTCCTTTTTCAGTATATGACTTTCAAAGCTTGTCTACTAAGATAAGTAATAGGTGCTTTACCGTCAATGATGAGAACGTAGCAAAACACCAGCTTTTTATGCACTCATCTGCTTTAAGATTTTGATTTAGTAGTATTTCTTCTTTCAGACTTCCTAAAGTCCTTTCATCTGTTTTCTTTCCTAACAGAGTCACAAATAAGCAATTTGTAGTTCAGTCAAACCATCGATTTCCTTAGAAGGGCTCCTAGGTGACCAGGAAGAATATGATCAGCAGAGCAAAGGAAACAGTGGCCCACCATTTATGAGAGGTGTTTCCATTCCACACTAAAGCCAAAATATTAAGTAATTTTTAGTTCAGACTTATTTTAATTCACCTACCCTTGCTCTCATTTTTAAGTAAAAAGGCAATTTATTGTATGTCCTGATATTTCAGTGATAATACATTTTCTAATTATAAGACAGCTCTTATGTTTTATGAATACTTGAATTTATTATCACAACACCAGCAGAACAAAGAGGAAGAGTTCTTGTTCATTGGATTAAGTGTCTGTGAATGAGGCATTTAAAAAGTTCCCTATATTTTTGGGCACATCCATATCAAATGTTAGGAGATCAGTGTTGCTCACAGTCAGTTCGGAGCACAATAAGTTTTTTTCCATGAAACATGAAAGTCATGTTGCTCCAAGCTTCCCTTTCTTTCTCTCCCTCTCTTTCTGCACTATGCCAATTCAGAACTGTGCTGAAGCTGAGATCCTGACACTGATGCAGAGTTTCCTGACACTGTGAGGACGGCGTTCTGGTAGCTATTTATCATGAGTGATCCAGATAAGAACGAAGGCACGATTGTCAAATCATAAAAGCCGAGTATTTATGTATGTAGCCGTGAGGAAGTGACAACAGGATGGCAGAGGCACCAATGTGTGTGTGAGCATAAACACAAAAAAGTGGGTCACTTTTCACTTTATCTATCACCTGGTTCTCTGTGTTCTCCATAAATTAATATAAACCTTCACAGTCATGATGACAAAATCTTGCTTTAGTTTTTTATTATGAGAGAGCAGCTTGTGCCAAGCCCATGTCATGTAAGCGCACTGATATCACCTGTGGTACTGAAGCAGGTTCTGAAAAACACAAATGGACAGATAGCTTAAGTAATGATATCGAGATAGGGGGAATAATTAAGAGCACACTCTGCGCTGCTGCTCTAACTGAGAGCCTTGGCTTTAAGGATTTAACCTACAGACGGATAATCTCCTGCAGACACAAAAGAGATGACTGGGCCAGGCAGGGTGACAAGTGGGTCTAAGGTCGACCTGTGAGCACCCACTCAGGCGGATGTGGATAAGAAGGTCCGGCTTTAGTCCGACTCTATGGAGGAAGTGTCCCAAACTATCCCTGAGAGCTGCCTATCCACCTCAGTGTCCTTAAACCAAGTGCAGAGCAACACTGTCTCTGTTAGGAGAGAGACATCTGTTTCCAGCTGTCAGGCTTCGCCTCACTTTAAACCATTGACAGTAACAGAAACGGACACAGAGCCAAATAAATCCTCATCCGTTTGTTTAGCGCATGCCCAATTCTTTTGACACACCGATGAAATCCAGTCCGCAGAATCTTTAATCACAATCAGTCTCCTGATTTCTCCGTGTTGCTGTCAAAGCTTCTCAGTAGGTTTTTCAGCAGTGTTTAAAAGTGCATTCCTGAAATAGCTAGCTATCAAAGTCCTGCTGCACTGCATGGAGGAGGGTCCACCATGAACCCCGCACATAGAGCAGAGGGGGTGAACTGAGAGGTTGTGACCCAACAGTCAAGAGGAGTCTGGAGCCAGGAGGCAGGATCTCATTAAAGACGGAGGACCTGTGAGGTGGGCTAACCTCCACAGATGTATGCGGGGCTTCCGTGTTTCAGGGAGGACGCGCTGCACTGAAACCAGCTGATCAAAGCCTCACTGGACTCCAGCTCATGGGTCCCTCTGCTAGCTAATGAGACCGAGCACTTCCTACAAACTGCTTTATGACCTCCTGGTGTTTAAAGCGGCCCATTCTTGTGTTTCATAGCCCAAGAGATACTCCCAGGTCACCCCAGTGCTGAGCCAGAAACGACTCCGAGGGACGCCACTTCAAAGCAGCTCAGCCGACGCCAGTTCAACGGGAGCGTCTTCACGGGACAGAGAGGCAGCCTTTTGCTTCTATTAACCAGCAGCCCTTCATCCAGCTGAGAGTCCTGCTCACAACCTTCACACCGGATGCCTCCTATGGGATGGGGGGTTACTTAGAAATATCCTTAAAGTAGGTGTTAGTCATGAGCACAATTTCGAGCTTAAAACTTCAAACGGTGTCTTGTATTTTGTTTTTCTTTGACCTGGTTAAATGGTGCAGCCAAAATGGAAGAAATGTGTCACTTTTTGACCACAAAACACCACACTTCCACTCTGAAATAAATACTTTACATCTGTCAAAGTGCGATTATCAGGACCGTTGGATCATTATTTTTCAGTTAAACTACTGTACAGATTTTTTCCTAAGAGATGACATGCTAAACTGCCTTTGATTGATCGGCTGGACATTTGCAGGAGGCAATAGATATATTTGTTGTAAGAAATTGATATATGCTATTGTTTGGAGCAGGGCAGTGTCACGGGATACCACAGGAAACACCAAACGAGCTACCAACAGTAAAAGAAAAGAAAACTCCTAACCGAATAGCTTCAAATTCCATCTAAATCCTTTTGTTATTGAGTCACGGAAGTGAGAGGAGCATGGAAAACACCCCGGGATAGATGAGAGTAAAGTCCAGAATAAAGCCTCAAGCCAGCTCATGCTATATTCAGAAGGATTTGCTGTCCAAAGTGTACATCATACATAATGAGATGGAGACGACATGTTAAACTCAGAAAATGTCAGCCATATGGAGAACGTGAGGTTGTGGATTAAAGCTTGTAATCTTCTATCCAACAGATGATAATAACATTATGTTTCATTTCCTCTATGATGCCAAATGATAAGGAAGCTAAAGAAGTGTTCAGATGAAATGTGGTAACGTGTAGATTTTTCCTGTTACTCGTAATTCTTTGGTGATTTGTGTTCTGTATTCTGTTCACTTCCTGCTCATAAGTGGTCTTCAGTTCCTTTATCTCCCTTTCTGTCAGGCAGGTTTTCCTTTGGTCAGTAACTCATCCGTCTGTGTTCTACCTCATGCTTTTTTACTCATCCATCCCATGATTTTATGTTTTTTTTGGTCAGTTACTTATCCTTTTATCTGTATGACTTTAGCTTGCCGTCTATTACTCGTGTTTAGTTGGCGTTTTCAGTTGAAATTCTCTCCTTGCTTTTTTTATCGCTTGTCCTCTCACCTTTCAGTCCTGTTTTTGGGACCTGTTGCGTTATGTTTAATGTTTTGGCACATAAATCGAACCCAAACTTGTAGCCTTCATCCAAATATGTCAACTAATTCTTGAATTGGAGCCTGTATCCGGAACTTGGGAAGTTGCTGAGCCACAATAAAGCCGCTCTTCCCTCCGATCCATCTGGACTGTCATAAACTTCTTCCTGCTTCGTCCTCATTGTGACGTCTGTTTGCCTGACACATGTGCAGGCAAACTCAAGGGCAGAGAAGGCAAGAAGGGGAGCACAGGCAGCACGACAGGGCTGATTACTAATTGTTTTTTATTTATTCCAGCTAATTATGTCACACGGCAGGATATTCTTCACTCCTGCTAGTTCAACAGTCTCAGTCTTAGCAGTCTCCCTGACTGGAGGTGGACAAAAAAGAGCTCTTTGAACGCGAGCAGCTCCTTTACTGTAACGCCGAGGTAACAGATGGCTCCCTGGAGCAAGAGCTCGCTTGCAGGGCCTCTGCACATATCATATCCAATTAAAGCTCCGCCAGCACATGCTTTCCAATTACAGAATGAGATTTACTGGCCTGGAGCACTTCTAATCCAGCAGGATACAGCAGGCACGCAGCGACAGAGAGGGAGAGGAGAGAAGAAACCAAAGCAACTATGCATGAAAAGTGGACGTTAAAAAGATACGCAATAGGCGTCGGCAGGGGGGAGCCAAATGAGGAAGATGGGCAGATTCTAGGAAGCTCAACAGGCAGCAGAGCAAATATTATTGATACACAGAAACCAGAGCAGGGATTTGGTGACGCACCGAAACTCGTCTCTGTCTCTTTAGAAAAACCTTTTACAAAGTCCGGGTTCTGCTGAGGGTTCCTGCGTGCTGTGAACTCAATAATCACCATCACTTTCAACATTTAAAACATCAAGAAAACGATGGTACTTTCAGATTCCTATGATTTCCTGTTGGCACCCCCCCCCCCCCCCCCAAGCAGGTCCTGCTCGCCGTGCTTATGACCTAATGATGAGTGTCCAGTAAAGCACGGCACGTGTGGAGGAGTCATGACGGAGCATGCGGTGCGAGAGGCAGAACACAGAACACACAGAACATTCCTCACTGTGTGCTCCACAAATTGTGGCTCCAAAAAAACTCCCTGCCGTGGATGTTTAACACTTTCTATACAGGCGAACCCATGACAGGAAGGCTGAGACACAGCCTGCAGGCTTCCAGCTCATGACTGACTTTGTCTTCATACGAGGGGGCTTGAGACACAGAGACGTGCTTGAGAACGGCTCGACCGAACGAAAAACAGTGACCGGCGTGTTTAACGGCAGTTAAGCTTCGTGACAGAACGCAGTCACTGAGAATTCATTGTTAAGAGGGCACAGAGTAAACTCTCGGGGAGCCGGCTGGTGTTTGAGCCAGGCTCTCTTTTCTGGCATCTGTCCATCCTCAGTCACACTGAAGGAGCAGTGAGTCAGGCTCAAGACTGTTTAAGGAAAACCCCTCAACCAGTCCAGCAACTGGTCATTTTCTATTTAAACTGCCACTTAAAGAATAAAGAATTAAAAAAACAACCGTACACAGGGATGAGTCCTAGTGACACAAACATCAACATTCATTGATGCATTTCATGCTTTTTTAAAGAAATATTTCTTATATTTTTTCTTATAATCTCTCTTATTATATCAAATGTGAACATAATATCCCTGAGAATGTCTAACATATTAATCGTATGTATTGTCTAGTAAATATAACTCAAAGTTTTGTTAATTGCAAACCTTTTCTCTGGACTCTTAAGATCAAACCTAAGTTTCTGTTTAAAAACAACACAGCCACAGTACATAATACATAAAATTCTGTCTAAAATTATATTATGATAACCTACAGTTTATAAAAAAGGAAACATACAAAACGTTTGACTTGTGTAGCTACATGTTTAAAATCTATTGGACGTGTTTAAATGCATCAAATACCAATTTTACTGATCATAATGTAGCAATTTACTACTTGTAACAGATTTTATAATTAGTTATTAGTTACATAACAGTCTGATAGTGGAGCTTTTACAGCAATAGAATATATTTATGTGATAATATCACATTTAAAGCTGTATTAGCTACTGTTAACTCAAGAAAAATAACTCGAAATGTAGTTACAGGGTTCAATATGTTGATAAACTCAACTCACCTTGGGCGACAGCAACTACGACAAACACGACGGGCAGATAGGTGAGTATCATGTTTTAGTTGTTGGAGTTTGCCCGAAACAAAAACGGTTTTCCGAGGAGGACCAAAGAGTTTAAAGGCTCCGCGGTGAGACGGTGGATAACGACGGTTCTCACGCCGTCCTCCAGGCTGCTACAGGTGGCTCAAACTGAGAGCCGCAGCCTCCGACACCGTTAAGACCCTCAGGGGCTCTTCTGATTGGCCGCTTGTCCTGTCAATCATCCTTACTGTACTGAAGCTGCGGAGCTCCGCCCACACGCATTTACCGGAGCACGGACAATGAGGTGACCACCAGGGAGGTCCGCTGTGGCCTGCAGTAAAAGGCTTTCTTTGGAGCAGTGTTTACAGGAAAGTACACGGGGTGTGAATAAAGGTGTGAATAAAAGCCGGGGGGTGGACACTTTATTACAGCCCATCTTGGCAAATTACATAAAGGTATATACAGGTTACAGTGTTGCATTAAGTTGAGGGCTTTTGGTGTAAATAAAAAGACTGTATCAAACGTAGCAGATTTCTTAAAGCTAACACATCCTCAGGAAACATCCTGATTCTACACCAACAATAGAATCTCACTAGAATCTAATACAATTATCACATCGTATACAAAAAAAGTGGAAAAGTTACTGGATTTTTTTTATTTTTTATGTTTTGCTTTGGTATATTTTTGTCCTTAATTTGATACCCCTGAAATCTCCTCACCCTATCATCAAGGGGCAGGATTAAGCATCTTTTGTGTCGGCCGTGTCTCAGATTTAGCACAGCTGGTTTGTCACCAGGCAGTGAACCAGGTCACGTTCCTTAGAAAATGAATCAAGTTATGTGAAACTAACAAAGAGGAATGCAAATATAATGGGGGGTGTTTCTCGGTGAAAAAAAACGTTTTTGTTGTCCTGACATTGTTTAGAAGACGCACAGTCGTAGGAATAATATGCTTGAGTCTTGAGAGTTTATTTTTTAAGGAGCTCTCATTGTCTACAAATAAGTGCACAATATTGGAAACTCGGTCAGGGAAAACAAGAAACTCTCCTTTCTCCTTTTCTCGTTGCTCTCGTTGTTGTTGCGTTTAACTAAACGGGACTGTCCATTCAAGCTAAATTCGTTCTGTCAGGAAATTGAAAAAAGAGACCCTTACAGATCATTCTGTCATAGGTCCTGATGTTATGCAACCACAGCCACCGATCTCATGAAGATGACACACAAAGTAGATGACTTCTGCCAGATCATTCCCGTTCATGCAACATAAAAAAGAAGTTTACTTATTAAAAAACACACACACACACGGGAAACATTTACTCATACACCCCTTGTTTGTGATTCTTGGTTTTACATTTTAGGTTCAGATGTTGTCAGACCTTCATTCTAGTCAAACAATTACAGCTTTACAGAGGCTGGTGCTTTAGAAGAGTTAGAAGAGAGAAGAGGCAACAAAAACAGTAAACACATCACAATTTTATTTATAGCCTTAGGTGGCTT